CGTATGTATATATATATATACTATTTTCATTACATATAGTATTAGAAATTTATTAAATAAATATATATATATATATGCACTATTATATAATTATATTTACTATGTATTTTACATCTTTTATTATTTATATTATATATACTATGAATGTGTTTCTATGTATGTGATTATGCGGGTATGTGGACATTTGTATATATCATGTGTATATGTATATATGTGTGTTAAATTGTGTGTGTATTGTGTGTGTGTGCGCGCGAGTGTGCGTGCGCACGCGTGTGTGTGTGTGCATGTCTGTGTATGTGTGTGTGCATGTCTGTCCATGTTTGTGCATGTGTGTGCATGTGTGTGTGTGTGTGGTGGTATGTGGTGTGTGTGTGGTGGTATGTGGGTGTTGTGTGGTGGTATGTGGGTGTTGTGTGGTGTGTGTGTAGGTGTGAGTGCATGCGTATGAATAAGTGTATAAAATGTGTACGATATGCTACGATGCAAAACTGCTCACACTTATTAGAAGGAGTAACAGACAAATCGGTGAGCAATTTGACTACAGACAAATTGGATGGCAATACATATATATATTCGACCGTATTTTGACTATTGACTATAAACATATTGGACCGTGCTCCGACGACAGATCAGCATAATACTACATGGAGATGTAAAATTTTCGAAATTCACTGGTAGCGACTACTGTCTGTTGTAACTCATTTCGCTTCGTCTACTCATGGATTGAACCCCAATTTCAATAGAGCAGTTCAGATCGCAAATATAAGAGTAAAATAAACAAAATTACAAGCGCACAAATTAAATGTGACTTACTTCGTGTACATCTATCTTCTCCTTGGCCAACATGGCATTGGTAGCGATGATGGATCCTGTGGTGTCGTTACTAAATGCTGAGTCGGCTGCAACATGAATAAACACAAGCAGTTAGACAACATCCAATTTCATTCTTAGACAATATCGTTGGCAAATTTGAGACTGTCAAATAAACCAAGCGATATGTGCATTTCCAAGTTCAACTTCTGTATGTCATGGGTAATTCTACTGGTTAATTCTATACAAGAAATTTCTCGTCAATTCAAGTGCAAAATAAACATCACGAAAGGGTAGCACTTATTCACACACTCGATCCCCCAACCCTGAATAAATTTAACCATTGAAGCAGAGTATAGCATTTCCGTAAACCGTGAATAACTGCATCATGTATAAGCACCCAAATTATTATAGACTCAGAATTTATTAGAGACCCCACGGAAACCCATACAGAGCATCGCAAGCACAATCGTAATGATAACGAGATGAAAACATTCAAGATACGTGTAACGAACTCGCCATAGCGGGGGTAACGATAACGAGATGAAAACATTCAAGATACCGGGGGTAATGTTAACGAGATGAAAACATTCAAGACACATGTAACGAACTCTCCAAATAACTTGCATACCGTTTGAAAGTGCGGTTTCGAGTTGCTTCTTCAACGCATTCCATGAGTTGAAGGAAACACGCATGGAATTTTGCATGTTTGTTGCCTGTTTGTGACTCTTTTTGAACTGCAATAAAGAATGAATCAAATTTTACGTCACTTGATCAAATTACATAGTGCTCAAAAAGGAAAAAGAAAGTATGCGACATACTGTAGCTCACAGCCTCAAGTGTCGGCACCAGTAACAAGCACCTTACTGATAAAAAATATGACTTGCTATCAATTTCTCCCCGTGCAACTCTTCCCACGATTTTGAAAATGTCATTTGAATTACCAGATGCTAATTCGAACAAGACCACCCGGCCAATGACAGAGATCGTCATGCAGTAAACTCAACACAAAACTAGATACAGTTCGAAGATGTTGGATACTTCTAATTTTGCAATAATAGCAACTACGCCACATCATGCATTATTGATTCCGCCACATCTTACATGAGCCACATCTTTCATGATTAATTATTTTAACATCAAGAAACTAACACAGGAAGCTCGCATAATAGCCTTTGCAGTCGATACTGTATTATATGAACAACTCATCAAGATGTACCGAGCCCGAAGTACGTGCGCTGAAATTAAAATATAAATATACTACAACTGTGTGAACTGAAGTAGGCTATAATACACTTAAAAAAACCCCCCACTCCATATGATAGAAAGAACTTCAAAATGGTATCCATTATAATAATACAATAACTTCAACCCCAACGCACTGAGTGGTAGCAAGAAGTGATAGCAAGAAGTGATGGCAAGAGTTGATGGCAAGAAGTGATAACAAGAAGTGATAGCAAGAAGTGATGGCAAGTAGTGATGGCAAGTAGTGATGGCAAGAAGTGATGGCAAGAAGTGATGGCAAGAAGTGATGGCAAGCAGTGATGGCAAGAAGTGATAGCAAGAAGTGATAGCAAGAAGTGATAGCAAGAAGTGATAGCAAAAAGGGATAACAAGAAGTGATGGCAAGAAGTGATAGCAAGAAGTGATAGCAAGAAGTGATAGCAAGAAGTGATAGCAAGAACTTAATTATAATAACCAAATTTCACCCGAACGTAAAATGAAAGGCTAACTTTTAGATTTTCAATTAAACAATATTTGAAAGAAAGCAACATATAGGTATCATGTTCCAAATCAAACTTACTTCGACGACTAGCTCATCAAACTCTGCATCTTTAGTTTTCGAGACCTTTGTGTTTGCGGTGGTCATAGCCGTACGCTTCATCAAATGATATGCACTTGACATGATGAAAAATTGTGGACTAAAAAAGGATATATGTTTAGTTAAGCACTGTTACTTGTTAGCGTGAGAATGAGGTGTGCTATGGTCCATATACTCGCTACATATGTCTATATTTCAAAAAGAAATGATACCCTTCATGAATTTTTAAGATGGCATTCGCCACCAGTCAAAATGGGCTTTTGGTTTATACTTTATACCGGCTTGTGAACTTTTAAAATCACGATATGGTTAGTTAACCCTTAATTGGACATCGCCATAGACGATAGCACTGATACGACAAAATAAACAATCATAAAGTCAAGTTTTAAAAATAAACTACTACTAGATAGGACTATTAAGCTCATGCAAAAGAAAATTCAGAATCAGAAGCTCAGAAGTCAGAACCACTATGTTGCATTTACATACGAGTATTTTAATAGGTTAGTGACTGACTCTATAAATAATGACTAATTGCAATAGCGCGTAGGCAGTGAAATTTATTTTTACAAAATAATATATTGTGTCCTGTGGTCTCACTGGTCTGTGAGACTGTGGACGACTGCATCTTGGGGGGGAAGTTTTAACAAAAAAAACAAAAAGTATTAAAATACGACTGGCGTGTTTCAATTTAGAAGGCTATGACTGGCGGCTGGAAATTTTACGGCCCAAGCACCAAGAAGGGACCAAGAGTTCAAGGCTAAGCATTGTTACACAGTGCACAGACTCGGGAATCAGGTGACTCAGACTTCAGGAGTCAGGACTCTGTTAGAACTTTTTAAAAAGTCCATAAAGTTATGTACCCTAAAGAGCCAAAGATTATGTTTATTGTTTTTATAGAATTGTGTTTTTATTTTAAACTAAAACACGAAATATTTTAAAATTGAACATTTATTTATCCCTCTCTCGCGAGAAAGCGAGAGAGAGAGAAGAGTTGTTTCAAATTCGAGCGATAAGTGGTGTTCTTTTTTTATCTATTTTTTATAAAACAAATTTAAACAAAAAGAACAAAACGAATAAAAAACCACCTAAATAAACAAAAACTTATAAACTCTTACACTCAGTCAAATATCGGCTTTTTAAAAAAACAAATTTAACAAATGAGTGTAAAACACATACACAAATCACACAAAATATTACTTTAAAATTTGGAGTGGAGTTTGCGTTTCAAGTCATTTCATTGAGCAGAATTTTAAATAGTAATAAAATATTATTTTACCTCTACTTTATAAATATGTATAAAAAATACAATGCTATGTATGTTTTTATTTTAAAAAATATCTATTGGAGAAAGTGGGGACAAACCGACAAGGTAAATAAAAAAAGGCCCATTTTAGCTTACTGCACTGGAAAATTAGTAGTTAGGGCACTAAATTTTCATCGAGGAAATAAAGGAACAGTTATAGGGTTTAGGCTTTGTGCGAGCCCGCCCGAAAAGCATCATCGGACTTCTCACTGTAATTTAAAAGTTGTTCATTTTTTATTTAAGTCTACAATAAAGCGATCGTTACACGTACACACGCGCACCTTTTCGAGTACATAGCTGTTATGGAGGTGACAAATAGTTCAAATTACGAAATGTACGGTGTGTGGATGTGCCACAAACCGACATAGGACTTTGTTTTCTATGCCGAGGCAAATGGCACAAGCGATGTTGGCCATTATGCTTTGAAGGAGATAGCTACGATGTCTTCCCAAAAGGATACCTCAGCAAGCAATACAAGTTTGAAACAAAAAACGTAGGCTGCTGTCTCAATGGCTTTAGAACATCCGATCGTACCCTTAAGTGTCCAGGTTGTAAGTCTTTCGAAAGAGAGAGAAAATCGTCGATACATTCAATTCTGAAAGGTCAATCTCATAAAATAAAATACGCGCTGGCGACAAATAGTCACCGATTTACGAGTACGACACAACAGAAGCGCACAATACAAAAAATAAGTCTGTACCTAAGTGTGTGTGTGTATGGAGTCCAAAGCTGTTTGGAAGGTTTCACGAGAAAGATATCACAGCCAAAAGGGAATAGAAAAAGAGGCAATGTTGTAAGTTTCGGTCTATCAAGGCGATATTAACGCCCTAGAGTAATCGTGAAAACAGCAATACTCTGAAGGATTGTGAGGCTGATACATTGCCTATATATAATCCTCTCAGTACTGTTTTTGCCGAAGGGATTGTATTTAGTGTTTCGTTGCCGCTCTATTAGAAACTATGGTGTGTTTCATTGGGGCGAATCTGAGAGACTCATAAAATCCTTTTTTATAAAAAGGAAAGAAATGAAAATACTCTTGATGTCCATAGTTATTGCATTAACCAATAACTTGCCACTCATCAAAAGTTACTGACTTAGCCTTCATCAGACTGGCACATCTAGTTGGCTGAATGGAGGATAAACTAAGTAACGCTAATAGTCTTTAGAAACCTATGTTCGGTTGAGCCATCTCGATACCGAAGTATTCGGATATAAATAGATTTGCTTTTGAAAGTACGTTTCACGTATTATTAAGAGTACGTTTATATTACCAGAGTATAATGTGGAGGCCCAGCTTGTACACATCCCGGCGGCAATACTACTACAAATTGGTCATGGGCAAACCGCCAACCTCAGATTGGGACAAAGCCAGACAATGGGACCTATACGACATATTATATTATGTCTCCAGGGCGTCTTCTGGACGGCTCAGGTACCCTGATATAGGAAAGTATCTACTTCCCTATCTAAATATATTGGCTCGCATTGTATCATGCTTATTAATTTACCGAGCCATGAATATTTACTCCGTAATGGACAACACAACATGATGGTAGCTTTGTGTATATGAACATAATTTAGTAATTGGGCAATTAACTGCCATGGTGGATTAGCCCACGCAGTATTTTTGGAGAGGTCTAGTTGAAAGGCATTTCCTAAAGGATGATTTGAAATCCTGTAATTATTAAGTCGTGCATTATGATGTGCAGCAAACATGTCAACTGTATGTGGCCCAAATATCTTTTGAGCCAGTTTAAACCACCTGGGGTTACATTTCCAATCAGTGGCTAGTAGCTCACGTACGGATATATTGAAGTCCGGTACGAAGCGTGATGTAGATGTTTGATATCGAAATGAAACTTTGATATCGTATCATGCCATCGGCTCAGTAATTGAGAGTCTAGCTTCATCTTGTTCATATATTGAAGAGACTTCTGATCGCACATCAGCGTAAAGCTGTTCCGTGTAGGTAATCGCGGAAGTGTGTTAGATCTGTTACTATGGCTAGTAGCTCTTGTTTCACAGTTGGATAATTCAATTGTGATGCATCCATTGCTCGGCTAAAGAATTGTATATACCTAGGTTTATTATCTATAACCTGGTATAGTACACCTCCGAATGCTAAATCTGAAGCGTCCGTTGCTATTTCAAAAGGCACGCCATCGACTGGTCCTTGTACAACAGGGGCTTGTTGTATGTTTTAGTTACTAAGACTATATATCATTTCAATGGACGCATAGTATACATTTCACGCCTCGAAACAATTACCTAATCTAACTATGCCAATAAAATATCTCTGAGTCCAACTTAAGAAAATCATAAATAAAATCAAAACACCAAGTCGGGGCAGTATACATCTGCACCTAAACCCCATCACTTGGTACCTAGCTCTACATCCGATTTAAGGCATAGACGGGCACATCTAGTTGGCTGG